GAGAGAGAGAGAGAGAGAGAGAGAGAGAGAGAGAGAGAGAGAGAGATCCTGGCAGATGAATTAGCTTTATAAATAGGTTCCAAGGAGACCAAGGAAATTTTTTACCTTGCTGCTGCCCTGGCTGTTAAATAGAAATACAAAGCAATTTCTCCAGCCTATAAATCTTAGAGCTGGCAACAAGTATCTGCATTTGACTGAGTGGACTGAGGATAGGTGGATTCCTGGTAACAAAAAGTTACTCACGATTCTGCTTCATAGTCAGGGACCCCCTGTGCGTAGAGACCTAGGTGCAGCCCATTCATTTTAGTACGGATGTAGACTTTACCCGAGCACAGTTTTACTTTGATGTATGTTTTTAAAATCATATTTATCAAATTGCAAAGAATATTCGCATGACATAGTGTCATGGGGGTATTGGTTGATAATCATCGATAATATCATCATCCATAACACTTTCAAGTGGAGCGATCTTAAGGATTTTAGGAAAAAGAAAAGTATTACATTTCTTTTATTTCCAGTGTAATAAAATGTATGCGTAGTATGCTAAATGAGTAATTTCTCAGCCACTGGATGCTAATTTTATTCTTCCATGGTTGGGTCTCATATTTTAATAGCTCTTCTTTAGATAGGGTTACTCCCTGAGTTCCTGATCTTAAATTAATTTTATCCGAAAAAGCCCTGGACAGGTGGGAAAGGCAGATAGATGCGTGTGAATTATGGAGCGTTGTAATACCAGGCATGGCCAGCAGGTGTCACAAAAGAAGACACAGGCAAAAAGATTCTACTAAAAACTAAAAAATCTGATTTAGTAAACACAGATTTTAATAAAACTAATGGCATTCATCTGAAACATAAATCTTATAAATGTTAAAGGTGCAAATAAAAACTTAGAGAAGAGCTTGCCAATATATTTTTCCAAATGTCCCTCTCAAATCACCATTTTACATAACTCTGATATTTTATATATGTATATATATATATTGGTACCAGGGATCGAACTCGGGTCCTTGCACTTGCGCAGCAGACGGCGAAACCACTGAGCTAAATCCCCAGGCCCTCATCTATCATTAATACTGGAAAAATATTGCACAATGACTATTATTAGAATCTCATCTCTGATGACTTTTTATTCAATACAGTGTAGAATTCAATATCTTCTTCTCATGGAACAAATACAGGATTAAACTACAGGACAGGTCATTGGAGGAAGTGAATTAGGTGATTAAAATTAGCATGTAAATGTGTAAAATTTCCATTTAAAGCAATAATTCTGTTTCATCTGGATCACATCTATAAAAATCAGTTTGAAGATTTGAGAGTTAAAACTTAACAAGCAGTGTTACATAAGCACACTGTACAAATAATTTTGGTTGATCCTTATAATTCCTTTTTCTTCCTTTATTTATTTATTTATTTATTTATTTATTTATTTATTGGTGCCAGTGATTGAACCCATGGCCCCCTGCATGGTAAATACACACTCTAGCACTAACCTCCAGCCCCAGCTCCAGCATTTAATGTGTGAAAACATTAAAAATATCTACAATAGGGGCTGGGGATTTAGCTCAGTGGTTCTGCCACCTGCCTCGCAACCTCAAGGTCCCGACCGAGTTTGATCCCTGGTACCAAAAAAAAAAAAAGAAAAATCTACAATATTATCTTAGCCTTTAATTATACAATTTTAAACAAGTACCCAGTATTTTCTAATTCTAATTGACCCAAATGTCAAAAGAATATAGTCTCAAAACCTTGGGCTTTAGCATTTAGAGGGAAGATGGGTTCAAATTTACTTTTTCTTGTATCATGTTGTCATAAGTCTCTATGAATATTTGCGGGGAGGGCAGTGAAGCCATTTTGTCACCCTCCTTTTCTGACCTGCTCACTTGAAGGCAGAACACTAATACTTGAATAAGATTATTGTGAATTCATATTTATTGTATATTGGCATGCTTCCAGACTCATAGTCTTGCTATATATGCTCTGTAACTGATGTACATGCTGTACATTGTTTCTATGTTAGCTCTGCCCTGGTGGGCCACCAAGTAGAACAGCTGGACTCCGTCAAGCTTCCTGGTGCTGAGAGACATGTTTCAAAACTTAATTTTACAAACTGGTTTTGATTTTGTTCTTGTCAGCACTTAGCTGTGTGACACTTGGCCATTCCTTAGCCATTAACATGTACATCCACGTTTTTATTTGTCTATGTGCTTGCTCTCAGACTCATGGAGAAAAAAAATCACTTTCTGGATTAATTCTGAACTTAAGCAGAATATGGACTTAGAAAATCTCATTGCAACTCACTGCTTCTGTGTCAAGACTTGCTCTGAAGCCAATACTATCACCAAACACTAAACCATGGTGTTCATAAATGCCCTATGCACTGAATATCTACGTCTCCTTAATTCCCATATTGAAACCCACAGTCCCAGTGTGGGATGATGTTTGGAGGTGGAGTGATGGGATTCAGGACAAACGACTGCAAATGACTGAGGCATTTGAGAAAGCAACAGAATCAGGAAAGTCATTCTCAACGTCCTCTCGCCCCTTCTCTGAAGCCAGCCGTAAAACCTAATGACTGTCCCCTGAAGTTAGTCATGAAGCCTTCATTCCAGGGTCCCCTGCCTACAACTGGAGGAGAGGAAACATCTTGTCCTTAAAGACACAGATGCACCAGGAAGTGTTTGGGCCACGGGACTAGCTAAATTCCCCCTAGTTGATCACCATTAGAATATTCTACACTCTGGCCAATTACACAACTGTCTAGTTTTATCAAATCTAAGCATAAAATACATAGAATTCCCTGCTTGGCTTCCTTAGTAAGGGCTCCTAGGTCACATAAAAGTCAGAATAAATCAGTTTGAATGCTTCTCTCTTATTAATTTGTCATTTTTTATAGGGGCTTCAGCTGTAAACTTTGTGACAGGTGAAGAAACAATATTAATCGATCTTTCCCACAGGGGTCTTTGGGAGGTTATTAAATCATAAGAGTGGAAAACTCATAGAATTAGTGCTCTTATAAGAAGAAACATTTCTTTCTCTCCTCCCTCCTCCCTCATCCCTCCTTTCTCTCTCTGCGTCTCTCTGTCTCTCTCCCTCCCTCCCTCCTTCGCGCCTTTTTGAGAATACAACAAGGAGTTTATCTTAAACTACAGTGAAGACCCTCAACAAATTGACAAGTAGCACCTTAAATTTGAACTTCTATATTCTAAAAATATATTTTTGTTGTTTAAACCAGCCATTTTAAAAGCATCTTTATAGCATAGCCCAAGTTGACTAAGACACACCGTGAAAAAAATACCCCAAGAAATAAGCATAGTTCCTAAATTAGCAATTCCATGATAAACCACATCAGCTTAGCGCTGAAACTCAGATTATCACTTGAAATGACCGGATATGAAGTTTCTTGATTATTGATTATTGAACAATTAATATCTATCCTATAAATCATTTGCAAAGGCAAAGGAACACAAGAAAGTAGCCATGGATCTCAGTTACATAGAAATTCTTTCCAGTTCTCCTGAAGACATGTAAGATAAAATATGCAAGTTAGGAAAACCAGACAGCTTACCTGTGAGCCCTGTGTCCTTCAGCCAACATCTTAAAAAACTGGGATAAATTTAATTATTTGTATATTAAAGTTGAACAAAACTTTCTTTGAAATCAGGTTTCTGGTTTATATTAAATATATTTTTCTCTGATTCTGAGAAAGTTTATCATCATTACAGTCCCCTATAAATTGAAACATAGTATATTACAAAGAACACAAAAATCCAGAATATTTATGAGCCCTCTCTTCCCCCTGCATACAAAGACTTCTCCTCCAGAAGATGTTATTAGAACATCTCAACTTTTAAAAAGTTGGCAAGAAATCTGGGTCTGCTGAACAGTATGTTTAATTAAAGGTAAATATATACACCTAAATCCACATTAACAGAAAATTCTAAATTCTCCTGGTAAAATGATTCATTAACTACATACATAGTATGACAGGAGATAAATGAATGACTTTTATTTCAAGGAGTTTATTCCATATTTGCAGAGGACTGTAATACTGATTATGCCCAAAGCAGGCTGTGAAGAGTTAACACCAGAACTGGATTGTTTATAGAAGTGAGTCGAGCTGAAGCCTGTGTGCCAAGGTCAGAGCAACTCGCACCCAAATTCCTTTCCTACAACTAAAACTTTCAGACTAGGACAATGTTCTAATTACAACCATATATTTTGTCTATTCTGTTCCTAATTCAAGAATGCTTTCTCTTGTCCTTTATGAGTCTTGTTTACATTAATTTCCACATAAACCACATGTCACCTTTACCCCAATTGATTGCCAATAAAAGTCAGTGCCTGGGACTGGCCAACGCCTTTGTGGGTTACACTGGCATTGGTCATCCTGGCACCCCACTTTCTCTCTCTTAGTTCAGTCTCTTAGTGTATTCTTTTTCTCAGGTCTGCATCGTATACTGGGCAGGTGGGTACTGGATCCTGACTACAGAGGTCTCTGGCAATTGGTGCCCAACTGTTGAGGACTTTTGAGGACTCCCCTTGGTGAACAAAGGAGCAGCTGCCTGGAAATATTTTCCAGCCTTTGCTCACTAGGGAGACCTCAACAGTTTCCATACTCTTACGACAGACTGACCCGATGGTTTTCATAGCCTTAAAAAAGACTTACATCGATGAATATTACTTAAATATGTTATTGTAATATGTTTACGTTTGTTGTCATCAAAGGGTTAAGTTCTAAGTATGTCATAGTGATATATGTTTACACTGGTCATCTTCAAATGATTAAACTTTCTGTGAGAAAAACAACAAGCTTTTATTGAAAAGATGTTTTGGTACCAAACTAAATTAAAGGGCATAAGGTATCATACATATAATTGTGATAATTATTATTATTGTTAATTTTCTGATGTACTAAATGTATTCATGCTTTCTGACTGTACAGGTTTTCTAATATATTGTTTATGGTAATAATCTTTTGATTCAGGTATTTGCCTTTTTCTTATACTACAGCTACTTATGATAAGAGGTACATTTATAGGCTGATGTTTTTTCTTTGGGAGACATCCTATCAAAGGATAACAATTTAGATGAGAAGATTTTGTGTTTTGGGGAGAGAATGAGAATGTTTAACAATGGCTATTTTATATTAAGATGGATATTTAAGTGTGTTACAAAGATAATGTCATCATGATTGTCATGCTAAAATATCATGTGTGGCTCTTGATTTGAAGTTTTCTTTCTTTTAACATTTTACAGGAATTCTACTACTAGAACAGCCATGATTGATAATAATAACTATATTTTATATTTCAAAGTGCTTGATATCCAGATAAAATTATAATTATTAAGTTCACTATTCCCATTGCAATGCTAATGTTATTGATCTTCTCTTCTGGATGTTCAACAACTAAAGTTTAGAGACCAGAACTAGAAAGGTAACTGGGCTAAGAGGACAGCCTGTATTTTGGCGCTGGCCCTACAAGGTCTACAAATAACCCAGGACATGAGAGAACTTTGGCTACAAGATCCTACAGCTTTGGTAAGTCACCTAACCTCCAGAGCAGGGAGATTGTCAGACACCAAAAAGATAAGCATCAATAGTGTGACAAAGGAGAGTCACTTGTAGGGGAAAATCTCCCATACTTTCACAGAAAGCAACATGGTCAAGCAAGGCCGTGAGACATCCCAATGGCTGACACTGACAGGAGCTGAAAAGCTCTATACAGGGTTCAGAGTAATGCCTGTGGGAAGTGGTTAATTTTGATTAATATAAGTCTCGCAGTAACCTGGTTTTAAACGGAAAGTATAACCCAAAATATAAAGTCAAGACCATAGTAATGAAGCTGTATATAAGAACCAGCTCCACTTGCTGACCCCTACTGGCAGTTTCCAACTGCACTGCTGACTCGCCCGTTATAGGTCAATAGAAAAAACTGTGGTAAAATTTATAGACCTCAACAAGAGTTTTAGATTTTTTAGCTAAAATTGTTTTTTAAAATTATTAAGTTTTCAATCTTTTTACAGCTAAAATTAAAATAAAACTTATTACAAAATATCAGACTTATAGATAATCTCCAATAGTAAAAGGGTCTAAGAGTCAGCAGGTTAAAATCACGATTTAAGTCCTTTAAAAACAGTTTCTAAGCATGGCTCTTTCCCCAACCTGCTTTTTTATTTTAGTACTTATACTTTGATTATAATGCTCTATTTTCTTTAAAAAATTTGCTTATTCTTGAACTCCAAGTGATCAAATAGATAAAATCGACAACAAATACGCTAGATTATTTTTACCAAAATCCACCAGATTGACTTTATAAAGAGAGTTTATAATTGCAACATGATTTTTATTTAAGGCCTATTAAATTAGCTCCCTGAAGAGAGCCCCTAACTGCGGTCTTCCCTACATTGACCCATCTCAGCTTGAAGCAGTTGGATTGAAACTCTGTCCTTTCTCCCGCAATCGCAGTTGGAGATGCTCTTTATAAAGGAAATTATTATAGACAGCTAAGTCAGTTAGACACATTGTAAGTCCTTGTGACATAGGTCCATTGGGTAACTCATGGGACCAAACAGGTGTTATTGGACAGACTTACCTTTCCCTAAAGGCACAATTACATAAACAAGAAAGGGGGGTTACAGCTACCTCCACAAGCTCAATTAGATCTTGGTACTTTCATTTTAAATTTTTAAGATACACTTTTGGAAAGTGACTATATACAAAGATAAATCTGCAGAAATGTCCTAGACACTAGTGTTGTCAAAATATGTCCTAACTAAAAGGTAAATAGCTCAATACAATTAATAACATAAGGACCAGGGTATGCTTATTTTTCAACAGAAAATAAAAAGATACTGTGGCCATCATCCTAAAATGTACCACCATGGACCAAGATGGTAGATTTGCTGCAAGCATCAGCACGATGTGACACCCCTGCTGAGAGTCATGCAAAGGCTACATTTGAGTGACTCCCCTCACCTGCTACAGCCCTGGAACCTGCAAAGATCACCAGACCTGATCCAACTGCTGTTTTCAAACAGAGAAGAGGGAAATGCAGAGGTCTGTAATACTGATTATGCCCAAACCAGGCTATGAAGAGTTAACCAACAATTGGCTTTTTTATAGACATGAGTCTGGCCTAAGCCTATGTGCCAGGCCGAGGTCAGAGTAACTTGCACCCAAATTCCATTCCCATAACTAAAACCTTCAGACTAGAGGGACATTGTTCTAATTACAATCATATATTTTGTCTATTCTGTTCCTAATTCAAGAATGCTTTGTCTTATCCTTTATGAGCCTTGTTTACATTAATTTCCATATAAACCACATGTCACTTTTACCCAACTGATTGCCAATAAAAGTCAGTGCCTGGGACTGGCCAGCAACTTTATGGGTTACATTGGTATTGGTCATCCTGGCACCCTGCTTTCTCTCTCTTATTTCTGTCTCTTAGTGTATTTTTTTCTCAGGCCTGCATCGTACACTGGGCAGGGTACTGAAACCTGACTACGTGGGTCTCCAGTAATACTGAGTATGAAAGGATCGCACCACCATCAGTATGAAAAAGTTCCTCTTAGAAACCCTGTGTAGAAATTTCAGCTTCAGCTTTCATTGACACAGAGGTGACAGGTACCATGGCACCGTGCTTGTGTTTGCTCCCTGTAGGGATGAAAAGAAATCAGCCCAAGAACAGGAACATGGCTTAGGATTTGCTCATCTTTGGCTTACTTGACAATTAGTCTGCTCGTAATCCAGATTAGTTCATTAGCCTAAAAACTTGCATGCTGTTATTTTATCTCTTGAAATTTTTATTAAATATATCCTGATTACAGCTTGGATCTTTTATTTAAAATGTTTTAACCAGTTATTGAGGGTTTGATATCATTTTGTTTCTCAAATTACTTAGCTCTGTTATTCATACCTAGTGTCTGGGAACTTTCTGAATTGCTGTTTGTTATCCTTCTCTTATATATATTTTATTGTGGCCAGAAAACAGTCTATGATTTGATTTCTGTTAAATTAATTGAGATTTATTTTATGGCTGAAAATACGGCCTAATGCGGTGAATATTCTGTGTGCCCTTAAAAATAATGTGTAGCTGATGCTGGTGCATGGATGATTCCATAAATGTCAATTATGACAATTTGTTTGACAACATGGTTTACTTTGTCTAGAGTATTACTGATTTTTTCATCTATTTATTTTAGTATCAAAATCCTTAGCTACAATTATAAATAATAATTAAATTTTCATTTCCCTTACTTCATTTTATATATATCAAAGCTCTGTTGTTACACATTGGCATAAATGTTGAGGATTTAAGGTGTTCACTTTTTTACCCATTATCATTATGAAATATACGCTTTGTAAGTGCTAAAATTCTGTTGTTAATGTAGTAATTTTAGCATTCTTTGGATAAGTGTTAACAGCCTATATATAATATACCAGTATATAATATGTGACATAAATTTATATATATGTATATATTATCTTTACTTGGTGATCTTGGGGAATGAACTCAGGGCTTCACAATGAGCTACATGCCTAGCCTTAAAACAAAATTGAGCCTATTAAGGTGTTTCACTAACTCACAAAATTACCCAGGCTCAACTTAAACATGAGATCCTCCTGCCACAGCCTCCCAAAGTGCTGGGATCACAGACTGTGACACCATGCCTGGCTACATCTATCTTCTGTAATCTAATACCTTATCAATTCCAACTAATTTATTTTTTTTAATCTTTGATATTATAACTTTTCTCTATAGAAGTACATTTTGTATCCTTTAATGTATCATCTCCTTAATATATTGTTTTTGTCCTTCTTGAAAATATGAAATATAATTATAATATATATTTTAATTTCCTTTTCTACTACATTTTTAATTTGTATGACTTCTAAATTGGTTTCAGTTGATTTATTTCACTCTCTCACTGTGGATTATAAATTACTGTTTTGATTCATGTCGGGTAATTTTTATTGTATGTCAAGAATTTTAAATGTTTTCTTATTGGAAGGAGATTCTTTAAAAATATTCTTAGGATTTTTTTCTGGAATATAGATATTTGGAAAGAGCTTGAGCTTTTTTATTGCTTGCATTTCATCTTTGTTAGTAAGATCACAACAGCCTTTAGTCTATGTGTAAATTTTCCCCAGTAATGTGGCAATACCTTTCTGTACACTGTACTTATGGCCCCATTTTTTTATAAGGCTTTTCCTACCCTGAATGGAGGTAAAATGAAATGTTCTTGTGAGCTTTGGGGATTGTTCTTTCATTGCTGCTGTTGGTTCTTTTCCTGGTGTTTGTAATTTCCTTTCTCTCATTCTCTGAACGCTCCTCCAGTGAAGACTAATAGGGACCTTCAGCTGATTTCTTGGAGATGTCTCCCTGTGCAGTGTAAAGATTTAGGAGCTCTGGCCTGTGAACTTTAGTTGTTTGGCCCCATCAGGCTCCAGACTGCACTGATTCAACTGAGAGACTGAGTCCCCAGCTACCCTCTGCATGGCCTGAAGCCTCTCTCCTGTCATTAAGCTGGGGCAGACATAAGACTTGTTTCCCTGCATTTAGAAATTAGTATTCAGTGGTCAATGTTAGCAATGAAACTGTTTTTTCAAATGATTTGGCCAGTTAGTTTAAGTTGCTTAAGGAGTGAAGGCAAATCTTACTTTGACTGTGAGTAGAAGTTAATAATTACCCATTCAAACAAAAATCATAAGACAAATTCTTTTTTTACAAATCATTGGGTTTTTTTAGATGGTCTGAGATAGACAAATGACACATTTACAATCAAGGTGATTTCACTCTAGAGAAGTCAATAAACCAGCAAACACAACTACACAGAAATATCTTAGATCCATCAGTGGTGGTGAACCTCTGTCACATGTGCTGCAGCAGGCTGCTTGTTATCATTAAAAGCTCTAAAAGTTTCACCATCACTGCCTTAGATGGTTTAAGAGACGTGAAGGAAATAAAAGTTGTTACATAGTGGCTGTGGTCTGTTAGGAAACTCTTTCAGACAAATCTACACTAAAGGGTATGTTGTGTGAACTAATACCCAAATGATAAAGAACTAGCCATGTAAAACTGTTGGGCATTCGCATACCAGGCATAAGGAAGAACAAATAGGAAAAACCAAAGCTTGGCTTCCAATAAAAAATGATTTGTATTAACTGTGTTTTTTATATATATTTCTGTCTTTATTATCCAATGTGGACTGATAAAATTCTGCAAAATCACTAACTTAGTTTATGGTTGATCATGGATAAATACTCAAAACACTTTCAGTAATATTACCAACTCAACATGATGCTAGCTAAATAAAAAAGAATTTTAAACTCTTCCTCCTTTATTATCAGAGCCAAGCAAGTTCTGTTGTGATAACAACAGCAACAACAAAAACCAAACAAGGAAAACAATTTCTCATTCCCATAGTACGTACTTTTGAATGCAGGTAGAAAGGTTTATTCCGTTGTGTTCACTCAGAGTGTTAACCAAGAAAATATACAGTCTTTAAAAATGTCCATCACATTGCTTCCACTCATATTCTGCTTATATTGTTGTAATGCCACACCTTATTTTGAAAGGATAAAGGAGCAAAGTTTTAACACAATATTGACGACCAGAGAGCCGGGAAAATTTGGTTACATTGGTAGTAATAACCATGCTTTCTATCAAGGAATCTGTATACTCATGCTTCCAAAGAAACAAGAATTTTGCCCTTCATCAAATTCTGCATAAAGACATCACTGAATGAAAGATTAAATGTATTAAGCACATACTTACATATATCCTGTTTCTTTTTCTTCTTTCAAATTACAGTCTTTGAAGTGATCTAATAGTTTACTTCCTGTAAGACAGAAAGAAAATTGAAAAGTAATGTCTTACTCTATGAAAAGTTCCAGCAGCTTTGAGAACAAGTTCCTCATTAAAAAGTAATTTCTAACTTTGGGAGACAATATTCACAAGAAGGCAGTATTATAGTGTTTCCAGGTTCAACTTATATTCTATCATTAATTGAACTGCTTCCCTGAGAGTGAACACTTCAGAGTAAAGATACACTGGATCTGGGGAATAATTAAGCCTTAAGGAGACAAAAAACAGGAATCTCTTTCTTCCCACAATACTACTTTGAACTATTGGAATTCAAGGTTGTCTTTACTTTTTGCTTCTTTGTAAGAGAGAAAGAAAATGTTCATCTAAAGCCAAGAATCTTAGGTGAAAGGAGCTTGCATGTATTTAGAGAATGCTTTTTTTGAGTTTTCTTCTCAGGGATTTCTCTCCTTTAGATTTTTCTTGGGAGAGTGGAGAAACTCAGTGGATAAACACACCACTACCTGCTCTACTCGGCCACGCCAACCCTTGGCGATTGTCTTCTACCAGCTCTGGCTAGAGCACAGATGGAAACCATGTTACTCATTTTTTCTTGGTTTTCTTTTCCACGGAGTCTCCTTCAGTAGCTTCTCTTCACTTTAAAGAAAGGGCTACGTAAATCATACAACTTGATTATGTTGCTAGACTTTTTCCCAAAAGTATAGATAATGAAATGTACTTTGTCCAACTCTTCCGGCATAATTCACCAAGGCTCGGGAGAGGGCTGCTTCAGGACAGAGTTTGGTATCAAAGTGTAATAATTTTATGTAATCTTTCCAATTTTCTTGGAGATTTTCCTAAGGTTTCCTCTATGTCAAGCATGAAACAGCAGAAGAGAAATGTGGGTGAGTTTTGGTCTTCAATATCACAAATACGTCAATATACTTTCAATGAGACATTCATTGATGGTAACTTAATTATACTTCTGACATTCTCTTTAGTAATTTAAAGATCCTTGTCCTGTAGGCTGGTTGAAATACAGAAGCTAATACTTCATAGAATATAGAAATAAATGGTAGGGAATGTTTGTCTCTAACTCAAAAGGATAAATTATGTCTATGTACACACACACACACACACACACACACACACACTCCCACCTATACAAGTAGAGATTCATTTTTCTTATATATTCCCATGATCACCCATGCATGGGAAAAGTCATTGGTTTGGCCATGCTCATTTAACGACCCTCTTTCAGAAGTAGTACCCAGAAGAATGGGTGTTTTATAAAACTCTCTACCCTCTTTCAGCTTCAAAACCGGTGTCTGTGAAAAGACTATGGCAACTTGAATGACCCAAGGTCTGTATTTAGTCTCCATAAAAAACCATACTTTGATCATAAGGAGAAAAACCTCCTCTGTATGGTTGCCTTGTTCATCTTGTCCACAAGCTGTGGAACAGAACTCAGAACATCTTTTCTTTACCCTTCCCTCCCTCCCTCCACTCTCCCTCCCTCCCTCCCCTCTCCCTCCTCTCCTCCCCCATCCCTGCCCTCCCCACTGCCTTCTCCTTCTCCTCCTCCCTCTCTTCTCCGCCCACTGCTCCCGCTCCCTGTCCCTGTCCCTCTCCCTCTCCCTCTCCTTCTCCATCTCCTCTCCCTTCCTCATTCTCTGTCTCTCTCTTTCTTTTTCCCACACAATTAGCTAGGCAACTGCTACTCCCAGCTTCTGAAATTTCCACCTAAATCCTAACCCCCCAGAACTGATTAATGTCCAAGTCTTTTCTTCCAACGTCAATCTTAGGTGTTATGTTTGAGAACCTCCTGATACTTTCAGTGATAGAAATGTAGATTTTTTAATCAAAATTTGATCAATAATTCCTAATAGGGGAACATACAAGTAATTTATAATTCTCTGTGATAAAGAAGACCAGGAAAATCTAAGCACATCATTGTATCTGGTGAATATTTCAGACTGAAGAAGAATCAGGAAAAACATCACAGGTTTAAATATGTAATTTTCACATTGTCTTGGTTTTGATTTTTAGCAAATCTGAGAGAGGTCTCACTCTTCCCTCCCCAACATGTAGAGATGACTAAGGCTCTGTTTACTGCAAATCGCATTATCTAACTCATGATATATGTCATGCCAGCATGTCCCTTAGCTAGTTTGTTGATTTTGTAGCTTCTTAAAAGTATAAGCCAACTGGGTCATTATATTAATACAATCATCAAGCCAGGATGTAAGTCTCTAAGGCTTAGAATCTAAAAGACATTAGACAAATTTCTAATTTCTCTCATTTTGTCAAAAGCTAAATGAACTAAATGCCTATTATGAACTATTTATATCACAGGCTTACAGTAGGAATTATATACAGTGATACACAAAAAAGCTTTACAAATACCAAAATAAACAATCTCAAATACCATTATATATATATAGATATATTACTATTAATATTATGACAAGGAATAAAATGCAAATTACAATTGTCCCTTGGTATCAGTGGATTTTCTTCTAGGATTCCTTGTCGGTCCTAAAATCTATAGGCACTCAAATCCCTTGTATAAATGTCCCGGTGCTTTCTTATAATCTACATGTACCCTATATGCCATGTAAATTGTTTCCTCCTCTATTGTTGAGGGGATAATTACAAGGGGAAGTAAAAGTCTGTACATGTTTAGTGCAGGTGTCATCTTTTCTGCATATATTATAGTCAGGAACTGGTTGACTCCACAAATGAGAAATCCAACTATAAAAAAACTACATTTACATTGAAGTAAGCTATAAGGATGAAACTAAAATATGCCTAACTTAAATAGAAATTTGAGAGAAAAATCCAGTAGCTCCCATACTGTGCAGACACACTAAATACTTGGGTTAAAACTGACCAGACAAGGGCTGGGGATTTGGCTCAGTGGTGCTGCCCCTCTCCTCTCAAGTGAAAGGTCCTGAGTTTGATCCTCAGTACCAAAAACAAATAAACAAACAAACAAAAAATAACCAGACCATCTCATTGTTGCAAGAATACCTTAAAATAGTATTTAAGTTGTTAGTTGAACACGTTTTTCCAAGTAAAATGATTGTCATAAAATGTGAGCCCAAGATCTTGATAGTTTTGTTTTCCAAATAATTGCTGAATCTATCCTTTGGGTTTTGTTATGCTTCTGCTTATGAGAAAAAATAAGAATCTGTCCAAATGATAATAACTGACATCAAATGTATCAAAGACAGAACTTTATCAGCTGAATTTAGCCTGACTTACCTGTGGATATGTTTGTATCTAGGGTGGCTATAAAACAGTCTAAATTTAGTCTACAATACAGTCTATAGTCCTAAAACTTTTCCTAAACAGAAATTGGCAAACTGAATTTGGAAAATTGCAACAACTATATCATTTTGTCAGAGTGTACTTTCACTGCACTTTGATCATCTTAAACAGACTTAATTCTAATTTTCCTTTCTCACAAAAGGGAAAGGAAGTTTTAGAATATTTAAGTTGTCTTTTCTGACTTTACTATCAGCTATAGACATCAAATGCTTTGTGAAATGATAAAGATTCAGACATTAATGCTATAATTCCCGCTTTTGAGTAGCCTCAGAAGAATGAAGCACTTACTTCAGATCATTGTTGGTAGGAAGATGTGTGGTTAAACTTCCATGTTGCTCAATGCTTTCTATTTTTATTAGCAGCAATGTCAGATTATCTACATTCTCCATCTTCAGGGGTAATTATAGTTAAATAATTAAAATATTTTCCTGGAAATGCACTAAGATAGAAATGGTCTATTGACTTGTGTGTGTGTGTGTGTGTGGTGCTGGGGATTGAACTGGTGGCCTTGTGCATGCTCGGCAAGTATGCTACCACTGAGCTACCCTCAGCTCTAAGAAAGTCTACTGACTTTTTTTACAGACATGATCTAAGTGAGGTCTTTTGTTTCTAGAGGAGACAGAACTAATGCATACATCCAGGTGTAGAAATAGGAGAAATTTAGTTTAGCTCTCTTTTGCTTTCCATCTCTCTGTGTTTTTCTTCCTCTCCCTTTATTCTTTACTTCACTATTTATGACAGTGTGTCTTCTTGCATTTATTCATCCATCAGACATTTACTGACACTATTTTGTGGGAAAATGGTTATGGTAGGTAGTTAGAAAGGTTTTCAGCCTTGTGGAAAAGCCCATTTAGAGCATACTGTTGGACTCTGTGTGGTATGAGACTTCAAGAGTTGGGTTAACCTGTGTATGTTTTAGGAGTTCTGTGCATATGGACACCTTACCCATCTAATTTGTGCCTCAGTTTCCTCAATCAGAATATGGTGATTATAATAGAATGCATTTGAAGGGGCTATGACCATGATGAACTTCACTTGAGTGTATACTCTGGCAGCTGCAGTGGTTAAGGAACCCCTATGCTTTCATTGTTCAGGGAAACAGCTAATCTCAAAGGACCCCACCATCCTGAGTCTCAGAACCTCCTTCATCCTGACCATTGGTGTCCATAAGGCTCCAGGTGGTTTCCTCTTTTCATGGGACTGACAATTTGTCAACATCTGTAAAGGGACTATTAAGGATTTACAAAGATTTTGTTTCTGATGGATGAAGGAAGACTGAGAATCTGTTTTATTATTCTCATTAGTTTTGTCTATTTTGTGCTAAAATAAATTAAGAACTAATTGAGAGAAGATATCTTCCACGTAGACTCTATATTTTTTCTTTGTGCATATGCTAGATTTGACTAAAATTTTAAATTTGAAAATGTAAGCTACCTGTACCTGTCTATATTTTTATATACCTGTAATTCAGAAAAAGTCTTTCCAATGTGCAGTATATAACTTACTTTGGGATAGTACTAATTAATTAAATTATAGAAACTTTTGCATTAAAAGAGCTGTTTTGTGATTGGCTTAGAGATAGGTATCCATCTATTTCCATAAATTAAGGAAAGTAAATCTCAATTTCATTTTGAAAATAATTGTGTTTGTTATAGACTCTAACTCAGAAACACTTTAAGAAATTATATTCTCACAATTTAAGTC